GATTGAGAAAATCTTACCTACTGTTTGATTATTTGAAATGCTAAAAATAGTAGAGTATGCACTTAGCCCTCTGTTTCTCTTTCTGTAGCTTATCCATTTGATATCAATGAAACCAGGAAGCAGTGGGAAGTAAAAGTAAATTTTTTAATTCGTCCAGCCACAGATACTGGGGTGCTCTTTGCTCTTGTTAGCAATGAAGCAATAGTCCCCTTGTCAGTGGCTCTGATTGACTATCATTCCACAAAGAAGCTTAAGCAACAGGTAAACACACAAATATGTATTGAAATATTTCATGCATGTGTATGTGTAATTTCAATAAGGAGAAACTTTTACATTATTGAACAGTTGCATAGATACTAATTCATATTAATAAATGAATTGTGTTGTGATTAACTATAAAACTATATTTTCAGAGATTTCTGGGAGAGGGAATAGAATGGTTGTCCACTGCAGTTTATCTGTCATAATAACATCTTCAGTGTTTAATATTTTTTAGAAATACAGTAGACCAGTGTTTTATTAACATACTTTTTCTTTATTTCCTTGCTATACAGTTTATTATCTTGGCAGTGAAGAACATTGTAGTTTGCAGGCTGGCAGTAAGCATTTGTGACAAACAAGAGCACTTGGTGGACATCTCCATCAGCAATAGTCAGATGGTTTTGACCATGGATGGGACTGTAGGACAGAACGAACTAAGCCAGGCACAACTGGAAGATAACCTGTCTGTTTTAGATAATTACCTACAATCATCTGTAAAGACCTATGTGGGAGGACTGCCAGGTGAGTATTAAATGCTACATCCAGAATGCGTATGATCTGCTCATTAATAGAATAGGGGCCAACAAGGTGGCCTGTGAAAATAGGGACTTTTGCATCTTTTCTGTATGACTTTCTCAAGAACAAACCTTATTGATTTGTTTCCTTTTAATCACATTATAGTGTGTAAGTTGTATCCTTTGGGAAGTTAAGTAAACGAAGCACAACTAAATCTGATGATATTCTGATGAGGAAAAAATATAACCTCAAGCTGTCTTACGCCTGGTATTGAATAAAGAGCCACAAAGAAATAATTGAAAGTGAATATAAGATAGCATACAATATATATATTGTTCATGAAAGAGCAAATAATTTCCCCTTGAATGTTTGTCCATTATATTAGAGCTAACGATAGATTTCACCTCAAGGCTAGTTATTCTTTTGTATAATTGTAATACATGAATTCAGCCACATCAGATCATTTGGGATGCAGAAGCTGTTATTTGGCTGTTCATGCAATTAAATATATTCCAATAGCAAACATCATGATTTTCTTTTTATAATACCCAGGCAGTACACTGCGAGTTATTTACAGGAAATAGTCCAGAAATCTATTACAATTGCTGGATGTGCAGAGGTCATAAAAATACCACTCCTGATGCTTAGAGATGCTTTCATATGGTTGTCATCAAATGATCAGTACCTTCCACCACTGCCAAATATTTCAGTAGATATGTGATTATTTGGGATAGCTTACATAATGACTCAGAATTCTGAAATAGTTTACAAAGCATTTTCAAAATCCATACATGTTTATGGTTTCTATAATCATTTGGATTAAGACACATCTTAACCTTGATTACATTTGGTGACTCTTAGGGCTATGCAACCCTTTGGTACAAACTGAGGAAAGGTCCTAAGGAAGGACATAGCTGCTTTAAAGGGAATTTTTATTATGGTTTTTATTTTATTTTCATTATTTTTTCATTATCTATTTCATTATACACTTGGTCTATTCATTATCATTCATTAGTTTATTATGGTTCATCACACAGCCAGATGTAGAGACTAGTTTTAGCATTTTTGTCTATCTATTGAGTCCTTTCCAAGTTCCTGGCTAAGCAGATGTGGATGTTGATGGTGTTATACATATTGTCGCAGGATGTAAGCTATTCTGAGTAAAGTCGCTTTTTGCAATTGACTGATGGTGAATTTGTCAATGCTGATGGTGTTCAAGCAGTGCTCCATTGTTTTGGGATTGCACCCAAGATGCCTCTTACCATTGGTATTACCTTTGCTCGCTTTTTGCCAAGCAGTTTAACAACATACCGCATGGATGTAAAATTGAAGAGTGGCTAATATCTGGCAAAACCTACCTGATAATGAAAGATTGAGAAAAAGGGCTAGGACCAGGCAACTATAGGCCAATTACCTGTTTACCAACAACTTTCATATTACTAACTGGTGTAATACTGATGCAAGAGCGTGCAGCAGTTTGTAGAGAAATCCTGCAGAAGTGGAATGCAAATGTCAACTGATATCTGCCTTTCCTTGTGTTTTCTGCCCCACCCCATCCAAACATTAAATCACTCTGTTGTTTTTTCCAGCTAAGTAATATCTTCCTGATAAGTGCAAAGTTCTTCCTGATTCTTTCTGGATACCATCCAAGGCCCATAGGAGAAACTACATTCCATATGTTTCAGGGAGAGAAGAGAGAGTGCTATAGATAATGTTTCATATGAAAAGTATAGTTTTTTTTCTACTTTTGTACAAGGCATGTGGGGACCTGGTGGGGGGAGGGAGGTAGGCCCAAGGGCTGTGGGGATCTGAGGGCAGCAAGCAGAGCATGTGGTGTCTCGAGATGAGGAAGGTCTTGATATGCCCATAGCAGATGGGTCAGTGCCTGCATTAGGCCTCTCAGGGCTTCTCCCACTCCAGAGGCACTCCATGCTCCACTTAACGACATGCATGGTCATTTGACCTCTTCAGGGAGAGCAGGGGCGAGGGTCATTAACCAAGGTGATCCTGCTTAACAACCACCACAACATGCCCGTAACATCATAGGTTGAGGACCACCTGTTAGGCTAAAGCAGGGGTAGGCAACCCAAAACACTCAAAGAGCCACTTGGACCCATTTCCCTCCAAAAACAGACGCAGCAAAGGGAGGAGCCCCGCCCCAAAAGCTTTTCAGCTTGTCGGAGAACACCATGAGTCTACTCTTTTACACACACACACACACACACACACACACAAACACAGAGAGAGAAGCAAGGAAGCGCAAGTGCCTCTCTCTGTCTCTGTCTCTCTCTGCAAATGGCAGAGGAGGCTGGGAGCCATGGGGGAAGGCTCAAAGAGCCTCATGCGGCTCCGGAGTCGCAAGTTGCCGACCTGGGGCTAAAGCTTAATTGGCAGATGAGATCAAAGCCTTTTGTCTAAGAGAAGTGTCATCTACCAGAAGGGACAAAGCTGGTAAGATAGGGAACATACTTCAATCCATTCCCCCACCCTTTTCTACATATGGGATGTATATACAAAGAGGCAGGGCTTGGATTGTGAAGCTGCATCCATCACCTGGGGAGCTAAAGAATATTTTAAAAATTAAAGGGAAGATTTTGAGAGTAGAAGTGTAAGAAAACAGAATTCATTCTAGAATATAAGTTCTGGTTCTTCATTTGCAAAGGTGCTTTTTGTGAATATTTCCTTTCATAATGGGGCTCAAATGTTCATATAGCCATTATAAGATATGTGAACCACTTACACCATCAAAAAGAACAAGTCTTCTATATATTTTGAAATTAAGAAGAATGTGGAGCTTGGTAATAATGTTTATTGAAGTTGTCTAGTGTTTATTGAAGATGTTTTCCTTTGTTGTTTGTTTTAAAAACACCACAGATGTTCCTGTCACTTCAACTCCAGTTACTGCTTCCTACCATGGCTGCATGACGGTGAAAGTTAACAATCAAGCTCTGGATTTAGATGAAGCACTCCAAAAGACCAATGACATCACCTCCCATTCTTGTCCTCCAGTAGAAATTGGTCAATAGATGCCACTGCAACACACACAGAATTTTTGTATTCAACATATGTGCATTTCAGTTATAAATTATTCAGACTTCCAGCACTGCGTGTATAGTTCCCTTGAACACTGAAGTTATGTAGGATCTACTGAGTTAATTATTGAAATATTTCTTTGCTTGAGAGGATTTAAAATATGTAATATATTTGTAAATAGTTGAGAAGACTAATGTTAATAATCAGAAGTTGCAAATTGTTGTCTGAGGTGAGTAGTTGAGAGACAGTTTATGGTCGCTGGTAAATTAGTTTGTGTGGACTGGAAGATTAAAAATAATTCTGTATTTTTTTAATGCTGCTTCCTGACTTACAAAATATGAAAAAATAAATTTTTTGTTGAATTATATGATGCAAAGACAGCATTTACTTTAGCTGAACGTGGGCAAGTGAGATTTTAATATTTTTTCCCTTTCAAAGCTTAAGCTTAGCATTTGTGTTTTTCTATCTAATTTAAACATAATAAGTTTGGCTTTGGGTTTTAGAAAAATCTTTCAGGGCAAACAGCAATTACGGAGGGAATAAGGGACATTTAAATCCACATGTTCAATAGTTTCCATTCTCCTCTCTTGGTTCCTTTGGCTTTGTCAGAAGTATAATCTGTAATGGAAAATTAAGGCTTGTAAGCTAAAATCCTCATGCTAATGCTATTCTCACTTTGGATATAGTACAAACATATGGAAAAGCATAGGAAGAAATGCCCCACCATTTTCCTTTGGCTTCAAAGGGTGGTATGGATTTTAAACCTGTTTTTCTATTTATCTTTGGATAACCAGTTCCCTCAGCTCTCTGTCTCACAGTAACAAATGTAGACTTGACTTTATCCAGAAGAGTAGGAGGATCATGAAATACAAAAATAGTGTCTGTTCCAGCAGAAGCAGTTTAGGAACCATTTCCTGATGCTTGAAAGTTCATCATTTAAAGGAAGGAAGACCCAGCATTTAAGTTCAATTTTAGCCTCTACAGCGCAGAACACTCTCACTGGGGATGGCTGTAGTCATGTTCTGGATTGAACAAGTTTAAACAGATGAGCTCCAGCCTGCTTCCAACTTCTTTCATTCTGGGAATAGGGTTCTCCATGCCTCAAGTATTCCCTTTCAGTCTTCCTTTTTTCTTTCGCATATACCCAGTGGTTTTCTAGACTAACCTGGAATCCAATAAAAGATAGCAAAACAGATTGGCCTTATGAAGTCTTAATATGCTACAAATAACTACCCCATTAAGAAGTTAATTTAGAAAAAGTAACAAGCTTAGGCTGTCTTGAATTTTTATATAGCCCATGTCTATCCTGCTGTTTGTAACAACTTGCTGTTGTTTATTGAGATTATTTGTGTTATTTCAGAACATGTTTGCCTTTGTCTATGATTGGAAAGCTATTTGCCCCAGGACTTTTGCCTTTCTATCCCAACATAACAGCATTTCTTCAAATGTAGCCCACCAAAAGCTGAAAAAATATAGGAGTAAAGCAATATATTTTTTCTATGAGGGGGATAGTTACAAAGTAGTATCATATACTTGCATTATGTCACTATAACATTATCAGCAGCTTACTAATTGGATTGCTTGGCAAACTATAGAATAGCAGTATTGCATTGGAGAAGAAAGAGGTGAAGCTTAAGCTTTTGCAAAAACATACCTGTATATTTTTAGTAATATATGTGTAGCCCTCTGATTTATCACCTGCTATTGGATGCTTTTTGAGATTGGTTATCTTATTTATATCAAGTCACTTTGTGATGCTATTTTTTCCGTATATAAGAAGAGGCCCACAAAAACATTTTTAAAGGATTTTATTTAAACACATGGCATTTATCCTGCATTCATTCATCTGTTCACGTATTCTCCTTTCTTGCATGTACACAGACATGCCCACAAATATATATCACTATATATTTTTTTCTCCTTTCTCATTGAAAATATAGAGAGCATAACTGTATGTGTCTATTGGAGATACACTGGTAATATTTTCAACATGATTGGAAAAGCTACTATGATTGAGAGCATAAATCCTGTAACCAACCTCCAACTGAGCCTGAAATTTCACCATATAAGAGAATAGAACTTACTAATTCTAATATCTAACCCTATTCTACTTTGCTGGTGGTCTAGAATTTCTATCTCCTAATTTGCTCTTGGATGATGTAGATCTGGAACAGAGATGTGAAACCAGGGAATTCAGTCTTTTGAGATACTGACCTGGCTCAAATTTCAGTTATTATTTAAGCTCTTGGTATACAAGACAATGAACTTTTCCAGTTTTTTTTCATTATCTGCAAGTACAGTATACAATGGTGTTGATTAATTTACACTCTCTGAGCTACCCTTCAGCTGGTTGGGTTGATTTTAGTCATCTCTTGGAAGTGTCACATTACCTATAGTACTTCAGATAGCTTTGAAAAATATCAGTCTGTATTCTGTAGTAGATAGGAAGCTAAGTATTGTCACCAGAGTTGAATTTTTCTTCTTATAGGCATTCTGCCCCAAATCTAGCTTTTTGTTTTTTCAGATTTGTTATATTGGATCAAGTATCATTATATAAAATACCTCACATATTATATGGGTTCCTGTCTAGTCCCAAGCAGATTCCAAGACTTTTATTAATCATCTTACTTTAGGAACTAGACTACTGAAATTTCTTTTCCCAGAACTACACCCTATCTAGGAATGGACATTGCCCTCTGTATTGATTTGTTCAGTGTGGTCAGAAATATCTAAAAGCACTAAATTATTTAATTATAAAATAGTTTTAATTGTCCCAAATTACTTCATTCTAAAAATATTTCCACTGCCTCTTCATGCAATGGAATTGTTACTCGGTTAAAAATATGTTTAAAGCAAATAATTTAGAGAACAAGTCCCAGAATGCCCATTATATCAGGTCAAGCATGTTTGGAATCAATAGAATATTTGCAGCTCAGGGTTGAAATGAGAGATCCTTAGTGTTCTCTGAGCTTGGTTTTTTTCTACAAATCAAGAAAACAACCTTTTCTTGTTCTGAAATGTTCTTAGTTGTAATGAGTTCAGAATTGACTGCATATCATAGATCAGTGTTTCTCAACCTTGTGAACATTAAGATGTTGGACTTTAATTCCCAGAATTCCTTAGCCAAGTGGCTGGGGAATTCTGGGAGTTGATGTCCACACATAAAGTTCATAAGATTGAGAAATACTGTCAGATAATTCAGCATTTTGAAATTTTAAAATGTTTAAATTATGGTGTTAGGTGTTATTATGCAAATTAAAAAGAGAAAAGCAAGCATATATCTCCTCATTTAGATTATTCAGAGAAATATTACTGTAGATTATAAATATATAACAATATAGGAAGAATGGCTGGTAATACTACTATTGAGGATATTTGGGGAATACAATACAAAATACATTTATTTCTTCAGGACTATAATTTTAAATAACTTTTTTTCCCCAAAACCAATCCTTTTTATTTCAGATTGTGCATATATTTTCTCAGCCAGCACTGTTTATTGTGGATAATGAAATAGAAGAGGATTTTGCAAGCCCTGATAACTTCCTAGGAGAGGTGTACTGATTAAGGCATCAGGCTGGAAATTGGGAGAGTGTTGAGTTCTAGTCTACCTCTGGCACAAAGCCTGCTTGGTGATCAGGAGCCAGTTGTTTTTTCTCATATCTAGGAAATGGCAAACCACTTCTGAAGGAAAACCTTTGCCAAGAAAACTGCAGGAACTTTTCCAGGAAGTTTCTGAGAATTCCACAATTGTGTGGAAGAAAACAAAACCCTACTATTGCTGTATCCCCTATGGCAGGGGTCCCCAACCCCTGGTCCGTGGACTGGCACCGGGCCACGGCATGCCAGAAACCAGGCCGCACAAACAAGCAAAGCCCCATCCATGGGATGCAGGCAGCACACAAAACCACACCCCCTCCGGTCCGTGGAAAAACCTCCCCACAGAACCGGTTCTTGGTGCCTAAAGGTTTGGGGGCCTCTGCCCTATGGCCTTCTGAGACGTTGACAACATGAGTGTTTTTAAGCTAGGAACAGGCAACGGGGAGAAGGAACTCTGTCCAGCCTTTTCAAAAGTTGTTGAACCTCAAATCCTCCTCTTTCCCAACAGATTCTTTTTACAATGTCCTTTTTGTGCCCAATTATTAATTGGCTGAATCTGCAATATGCAGAAAGTAATAACTTTATTTCCAGCAGTATTAAGTCCTAAGCAACACAAAAACTATTCAGACAAGGAGAACAAATCCAAATATTTAAAATATATTTCATGTTTCAATATAGTACCTTGGGGTGGGGAAGGAGAGGAACCTAGATCATAATCAAGGATTAGATTATTTATCTCTCCTTTTGATAAAATGCATATCCTGAAAATATGAAAAACATGTACATAATATTTTATTGTAAAATAACTACCACAATCTTTTGGAACATATCTTTACCCAAAATAAGATATTGAATAAGCAGAAAAACAGAGAAACATCTGAGCTATATATATGCTCAGAAATATCTAAATAAATTTAGGTAATTTTTTACTAGACATAAATCACCGAATTGTCAATTTTGGATAATAAAATGAAAAGATTGCATTCCTTGGGGTTTGTTATTAGAAAGTTAAACCACATATGAAACAAATGTGTATCTGCCTTGCTAACCTATTGCGGGTGGCTGTAGGGATAATATTAGAATATTCTTATTTTGGTTTTAACTAACCTTATTTATTACTATACCTGATCCTGAATACAACTCAGTATAGTTCTGGCTTAGGAAAATTGGGCAATTTGATTTGGTCTGCATTTTAAAGGAAAAGTAATTGAATGCATATCTCAGATTACATTATAGTTTTGGGAGTCTGCTCTTCTCTGGATATTGTAATACAAATCTCATGTCACAAATTGCATACGAATATATAGGGAAAATATTTATAGAAATGACTTATTGAAAGATGCGTATGTCATTTTTCTGGCATTTTTTTCTTAATTAGGAGGAATTAATAGAAGTGGACATAAATCTCACATGCAGTCACTTGTGACTCTGTCAGAGAAGGTATCTCTGTTGGGGTAAAAAAAAATTGCTTGATATTACTGGGAATAACCCATTAACCAATTGACATTGATTTTATGGACTATTTGCTTACATTCACACTGCCCATTTTCCATTCTGACACTGAGACTTAAAATGGGGAAATACAATGCCACACAAAATGACATTAATGAATGGAAGCTAACCTAGTCAGCACACATTGATCTCACTGCCAAAGCTATTTTTCTTTTGAAAAACGGGTGGATAATAATCTGTTGGCTATGGTACGTACGGTGGAGGCTTTTCACCTGACAAGAAATAGGCTGGTGTGTATAATGGAGGAGCATTAGGAGGCACCCCATGGTTACAGCTGGTCTGAGAAGGTGGCTGGGGGTCATCAGCTACATCAGTAGACGAAGATGTTGGGAAATTGCCGTTAGGCTGCACCAAGACAAAGAGAAACCTTACAATGAATGAAGTTGAACTGTAAAACTGTATTTAAAATGTATGTTGATATACTTCATAATTTCTAAGCCCCAAATTCTGCAATGTTTTACACACACATATGTACCTACTTCAACCTACAGTCATTCTCAAGTCTAAGCCATAGTTGTTGTTTTTTTTAAAAAAAACAAGTTTTTTTTTAAAAAAATTATGTAGTAAACAAAAGGAAGGAGTGAGACACCTTTATATATAATGAAGCACGGTTTGAAAATATTTTTAAGTGGATAAATCTTTGGTTATTTTAATTATATTTTATTGTGATATTTAAATCCAGAATCCCAAGCTTCTGGTTAGTTTTGTGTTGGCCCAATTGTCTATTGCCAGAAGCAATAAAGCAAACAAACAAGCATATGCTTATCTGCAGGAATGACTCTGTTTGTTCTTGCCTTGTCCAAGGACCTTTATTGGTAAAGTAACTCTTGGCTTAACACTATCTGTAAACATTGTCTGTGTTAGCTTTCAATATCAACAAAACTCTGATTTATTTGCTCTGTTTTGATTCTTTGTCTGCACAAACCCATTTCTGTTGACTTTATAAATCAGTGTTTTTCAAGACTAGCAACTTTAAGATGTGAGGACGTCAACTCCTGGAATTTCCAACCAGTCTATTCAAATGGTTAAGCTTGAGAAATGCTAATATAAATCTTAACATATTCCTTATAACACACACCTGAAAAGGTGCTCTTTTGTCCACCTGGTATTCATTACATAGGCCTGGATTAGAGTAGCCAATATGCACCCATTGATTCACACACAAAATTCCCCATTATAAAAGCAATCCAGAATGCCACTGTGAACACCAGATGTCTTGGCACCCCTCCTGTACTCTACCTGAAGGGGAAGGTGATAGGTAGGATAATGAGGAACAGAAGCTGCTGAAGGACAAAATCCAGCATATGTCAAGATCTGCTGAGCAGGATTGTAAAGGATCTGTGGTGGTGGAGCAGAGCTGAAAGCAATTTGGGAAACAGGCACCTGCAGTGGCAAAAGATAAATCAATTTTACTTCCTCTCCAAGTCTGATTTCAATACTGAATATTTTTTCCCTTGATACATTAATCATACCTTCCCAAATAATATGCTATTCCATTTATATAGATGGGCAAATGAAAGGTTTTTTAAAAGAGAAATAAATCTTTCTTTTACCCGATTTAAAAGTCCACTATTTTGAAAACAAGCCTGCTTTTATTTGGAGCTTGTAAAATGAGCTAGTAATGGGAATGGCAAGTTCTCTTTCCCAAGGCCGCAAAAATTCACACAACACTACAGGACAGCAAAGAGTTACAGCAAAGCTTGATAGCTTTAAGATTCACTCTGGGAGAGGAATTCTGGAAGTTAAAGTCCACCATCTTAAAGCTGCCAAGGTTGAGAAACAATGAGTTAGAGCGTTCTGTAGGCCAACATCTAGCAGAAAAATTCTGATTCATTCAGGTGACTTTTGAACATTTGTTTCTAGTTGCTAGTATAATTCAACCTTTTGTGTTCTATTCATAGGGGCAAAAAGAAACATTAAGACATTGCTTCAGGCGTAGGTTAGGGAATTGCAACTGCAGTCAGATTTGAATATTACGGGGGGGGGGGGTGGAATTTGGCAACTGCTTTCTGCCAAGAGTGAATTTTTATATAAAAAGTCCGACTCAGTACTGCATGACTGCTTTAAGTTGCCTTTCTTTCAGTTGCCTAGCAAATCTTGATTTGTGTTTCAAACAGTCATTTATTTCCATGCCCAACTTTGGAAGTATAAAATTGTCCACATTGATAATTGCATGAGAATTAGTTACAAGCATAACATTGTCAAACCTTTGAATAAAAGTAAAGTCTGATAGCTTGGTATACAATGCCAACCAAAAGAGCAAGATATTTCTGTAAGCAATCATGTTTTATTTAACAGCCCAACATTCATGTTAATTACATTGTTGGCACAGTCAGTTCTAGAAGATAGCAATGCAGGCATATTCCATGGAGGATAAAACGTTATGAGCAGCAGACAATTATGATGTAATGTTAAATTGTATTAGAATTGTATGTAAAACTGCCAAGAAGAAGCTCAGAAGGATATATATACACCTATGTTTCCTCCAAAATAAGATCTATCCCGAAACTAAGCCCTAGCTTGATTTTTGGAGGTGGGCCTAATATAAACCCTACCCCTAAATAAGCCATAGTTAAGTCCCCACCCACACACCCGCCTCTTCCCTTTCACTCCACTTCCGAGCCAGACTGCCATGCTACGGAGGATGGGCAGGGGAAGTGCAGTCACTTTACCTGGTCCCCTCCACTGTTTTGGAGCCAGTGGGGAGCCATTTTTATTTATTTTCTTTTTCACATTTACTTCACTACATTTTTGAACGTACTTCTTATTTTAAAAAAATACAACCAGCAGAGAACACATTATAAATTTTAGCATATTTACATAAAGATGACAGATAGTTAGAAGCATGTAGTAGATTAAACTTCTAATAAGGCTATGTGTATTTTCCTTTCAAATTCCAAATACTGCATAGCTCTATTACACAATGGCATGGGATTGTTACAATTCCTTAATTTTTATTTCTAAAAAAAGGAATTGCCTCAAAGCACTAAAAATCTTTTGAGTTTTCCATAGGAACTATTCATCCAAATGTCATGAATGCTACAAAATAAAGATGAGAGGCATAACTTCAAACAGAAGTTGAAGTTGGAGGGAAGATACAATATAAAGCTAATGCACTGTCTTGTGTCTGACCTGTTTTTTTTTAACTCCTTGCCCCCCCCCCCAGCAGAGAAATTGCTTAAACAAGCTATCACTTTCTGAGCCGCTTTTCTTTACAGGATAGCGCTTCCCTAAAAAAATGCTAACCACAAGACACTCCGCTCTGTAACCTTAGTTGATTAGAACACTGCCCCACCACCCTTGTGTTGCTATCTGAAATAATCAGTTTCACACTAATGTTTTCTTTGGCCTCCTAAGCTACTCACAGAAAACAAACCAGGCAAAGAACAGCATTAGCGCATTGCTTTGTTTTCAAGATATATTCCTCACTGTTTGACCTTACTCTCTTGTAATCCCTTCTTCTCCAATGAATGTACAGTCTTCTTGCTAATTATTCTAACACTGAGATGACATTAGAAAGGGGAAGTGAGGAAAATGGCTATATGTTTTGCCCCTTTATACAGTTTCTTTGTGATTTGTGTTCCAGAAATCTTCCCCTCCATTTGGGTGCACTTGACTATTTGGGGCCAAATCCTTGACCCCCAAATGCTGTGAGTATATTCAGTAAAACAAATATTAATAAACTTTTTTCAAGATTTATTATCATCCTGACATCTCCCTTAATGTTTTCATTCTTAAGTATCCATCTTACAAATTATAAATTAAGCATTGATGCACAGATTATGGCAACACACGTGCAGCATCTCTAAGCTATCATAAGATGACAAGACCTGCCTCAAATTGTACTTCTTTCATTAGTCAAATTATAACTGATACTATTAACCATTTAATCAGTGACAGAAATGAAACTTGCTTCATTTGGTTTTGGTTTCATGGTTTCATGGTTTCACTTCAGATCTATGAAGTATCTCATGAAATCTATCCTTAAAAATTGTTTTTAATGCATCCAGAACACAAGGAAGTGACTCAAAAAGGTAAATGTCCTTGAGGAAAGTAACAACTAATCACATAGACATTGTTGACAAGAAAACAATATGAACACAGTCTATCCATGGTCACTAAGATTAGATTTAATTTTAAGGTGGCTTTATATTTATAATCCCTCCAGGGAGCCATAAAGCACACACCATCAGCAACTCTTTAATTCAACCACATATTTTTCCTTGGCCACTTCAGCCGTCCCAGGAAAACAGGCCTCTAAGGAGGGATGTATGAGTATAAAGTGCATGCCATACTTACTCTGGGTTCAAGTCCAAAGTACTGCATATTCATATTTTATTTTGCCAGGACATCAATTGCCATCAATTGCAGGTAAGACTTACCACATCTTTAAAGGCTCCAAGAATGGCTGCTGTGATTATGCCAAGGAACAAGCCAATGATGTTCAAGATGGTGGATGACCAAAGCAGTCGATAGAGGTGAACCACATCCTGACAGCTGCTCACACCAAGGAATTCATAATAGCTGATAGAGTGTTCAGAGCTGGAAACAGGATATTAGAGTTTTAGCACCTGATGAAAAGCAAAATGGTGCCATTCCAATCTTGTCCCTTCTGTCTTAATAGTAGTCAGACTGTACTAACTCCTTCTTTTCCTGCTCCTCCAACAATAGCTCTCAGTAAATTGACAAGAGGCCTAGGTTTAAAAACTATAACAAGGTGCTAGATATCATGATTTTTTTTCTAAGACAAATACAAAGAACGTGAAAACATTTGTAGTTTTAAGGAGGAATACACTTTTTTAAAAAATCCATATTTTTACTCTGGAAAACATTGTATAGTTAAATCCTTGTTATCATTATGCTCTTGTGATCTCTTTTCTGGATTACTGAAATGCGCTCTACATGGGCTGCCCTTGAAGAGCATTTACAAGTTTCATCTGGTGCAGAATGCAACAGCGCAAGTAGTAAATGCTGCCAGTTATTCAGTACATGCACCCCAATACTCTGTGAACTACAGTGGTTACCAATGTGCTTCCAGGTGTAATTCAAGGTACTGGTTGTCATTTTTAAAGCTATTTGTGGTTTGGGATAGGGTACTTGAGGAACCATCTCTCCCCAATTGTTTCTATTCATCTGATCTGGTCAGGCAGGATGGGCATGCTTCAGCTCTTGTTGAATAGAGTATGCTAGTTGGCGAACCTAGAAGACTTGTCTTTTCTGAGGTAGCCCCCAGGAGATGAGGATGGCTCTAAAGACATGTTTCTATGCCTGGGGTTTACAGGGTGCAGGAATCGGCGTATTGTTTGTGCTAGTGATTTTAGTTGCTTATATTTCAAGCCTCCCCTTGTTCAGGAGCTCATGATGGCCTACATTTATCATCTATCATCTACTATCTATCTATCTATCTATCTATCTATCTATCTATCTATCATCTGTCTATCTAGCAAATTTATATGGCTGCACATCTCACAAAAAGCAACTCTGGGCAGCATACAACAAAGTTCCCTTCTGCTCCTCCATAGCTACCCTATGATAGGTTGGTCTGAGGCAGTGGTCCTCAACCCTTCTGAATCCATGGACCCAGCTCCTGTGCATGTACAAATGAAGCTTTACACACTCATCCACCACTTGCATCATCTAGTTCCCAACGGGCCATAAACTGGTACTGGGGGTTGAGGACCCCGGTCTAAGAGATACTTACTTTTCACAGTTATATAAATCACAGCAGTAACACGTATTACTTTTCACTTTCAGCTGGCATTTGTTATTTAAGGCATAACAGGTCACCTGTGTAAAGAGAAGGCAACTGATATTTATTAGTGCCACCTATTGCACCAGAGTATTGCTGAACCTCTTTTTATATGGATGGGCAACCAGGAGCCACTGAAAGCTCATTAAAAAAGGGCTGCCAAATTTGCTTTCAGTGTGCTTGAATAGGGTTGTCCTTCACCAGAACAGAAAGGCCTTCTCTTGCCCCACAGAAATCCTTTCCTCCTCCCAGCAGGTAATATCCATCCAAGACAAACAAACCTGGCCAAGCTAGTCACCTGGACCTCACTAATGTATCAAATATAGCAGATGAAAAGGCAGGGCTGCAGAACAATCTGGATTCTTAGATGAGTTCCCTGTTTATCTCTGGTTGAACTGTAACTCCCCAACATGTTTCCTGGCTGCTTGGATGGCTGCTATTGTTCCTGAGAACACAATTTATAATACCAACAGCACGGCAATGCCCAAAACACACAGAAAAGCCTGTTAATAGAGGTGTGCGTGTGTGTGCGTTTGAGATATTCTTGTATCTTGGTGACTGCTGGACTAGTCTCTGCAGTTTTCTTGGCAAAATTTCAGAAATGGTTTGCTGTTATCTTAGGAAAGAAAGAGAATGGCTGCTCTAAATCATCCAGTTGACTTTGTGCCTAAGACAGGACTAGAACTTACAGTCCCCTGGTTCCAGCCTGATGCTTTAACTCAAGGTCAATTTCAACTCCCAGAGTTCTTAGTTGCTAAGGTTAAGAAATATTATCTTAAGCACTATACCAGACTGGCTCCTGATGAATAAAGGTGTTCAGAGAAGTTTTATATAAAGCAGTGCTTTTTTTGTATATATATAAAAAAAAGGTGCCGGAACTCACACGTCATACAACCCGCCTTGCCTATCCTATAAGGTTCCATCCCAAAAAGGTGCTGGAACTCCGTTCTGGGAGTTCTATGACAAAAAAAGCCCTGTATATCTGTATGATATACTGAGGATAAGGGGACTTTGATCCACTGAAATCTGTGTGATAATAAGCTACCCAGGAGAGGTTGGGCTTCCAACTATTGAACTATCAAATGCTAAACTGCCCTCTGTTAGAGATGCTTTAAGCAGAATCCTGCCCTGAGAGGGCTTGGCCTATACAATTCTACAATTCTAAGAGTCCAGGGGTTCTCAGCCTTGGCAACTTTAAGACTTGTGGACTTCAACTCCCAGAATTCCTCAGCCAGCTTTTGAAGTCCACAGGTCTTAAAGTTGCCAAGGTTGAGAACCCCTGATCTATGCCATTACACAATTTATTATCATATATCCTTGAAACTGTTAACCCTTGCTTTTTAGAAAGGAAAAAAGTGATAGGAAGAATAAAAAGTATAATATTTTATTTCAGAACTGAGATATAATCATCAGCAATGTTGGCCAATGAAGAAACAAGGATGCAGCTGAGGACCTTATTGGTGGGAGAAAAAATAGGGAAGAAATGAGGAAGGGGGAGCATTTACAGCGTCTGTTGTTTTATTTTTATTTTTTAAAGTCATCCAATTTCAATCAGTGGGAAGAAATAAATGAACGCTAGATCTGAGCTGCTCTGAGTAGCTTTGAAAATGGTGCATATTTCACAGACACTGCAAAATCATTTCTGTGTGACAAAGTAGGAGGATAATAGAATAAGAAGGATGTGCAAAACTTCAAATTCCATAAGAAAAATTAATAACATAAATGAATTGCATGGAGATAAGCAAGTCAGAATAAATCTATATAACTGCTTTTCAAAGATGCAGGTATGTCTGCAAGTTATAGTTTAAAAAAGTCAAGATGGTAGTTGTGATGTCCAGACAAGGCATAGAAAAATTGGCACTGCATTAATCAGATTGTTGTAGCCACCATGTTGATTTTTTCTTTTTTACAATCCTGAAAGTTTTAAACAAGGAGCAAGAAAATTAAGAACGATGATGGTGAAACAATAGCAGTAGAGAAACAAAAAATGTGAAACATCTTCAGATATGTTCTGAGTTTTGATGTTAGACTTCAGGGCTCCTCAGACAAAACCCACTGGCTGCCCAGCCAAAATGAGTAGGAACATAAGGGAAATTGTCAGTTTTCAGAATGGCAGATTCTGTTCATTGCACTGGTTTCCATACTTGTGAATAGTTAAGCATGCAACAAAAACTGTCTGGATAAGTAAAAATCCTAACACTGCTAGAAATCAAAGGGGCAAAGTGAGGAGAGACGAATGGTGAAAGTAGCATTCCATCAATGTAATGCAAGTTCCCAAAAATTCCAATTTTCAGAAATAGATGGTACCTAAAATCAATATTTAAAAGAGAGGAAAATAACAACACCAACAAAAAAACCATAAGAGAGCTATAACTGTGAGATCTAGTTTAGTCTAGTGATTAAGGTACCAGGCTAGAAAACAGAAGACTGTGAATTCAAGACTTGCCTTAACCATGAAAGTCAGCTGGATGACTATGGGTCAGTCACTCTCTCTTGCAATCCAACCCACCTCACAGGGTTGTTGTGTGGAAAAAATAGAAGGGGAGAATATGTTTGCTGCCTTGAGCTATTTGTAAAAATAATAGAGGCAAACAAATAAACTTCAGAAGTAGGGTGCAGCCAGAGAATTAAACATCAATATATGTAGAATTCCTTTGCTTTTTCCAATAGTATAGAAGCAGAATATGTTGTTCAAAGTAGATGAAAAATATGCAAACATGTTAAAGAGGCCTTAACTTTATTTCTCAGAAAACAGCAGTTCATTGAATAGGTTAAGTTTAGATTCTCTCCTGGGCTTCTTTTCCCCCCACATCCTATTTTTGTTTTGTTTATGTGGATGGTTCCTTTATTCAATAGGCTGGAAGTATACTCTGCCAAAACAAAACAACAACAAAGCTCCAGAGAGTAAAGGAACCAAAATTTTACTTAAGCCCCAGGATTGTGTCTGATTGTTCCTGTCCTTGGCTGAAGACCATCACTCCGAATAGAATCTGCAGACATTGTCAGGTTATTACAATTAAAAGTTGAGGTTTGGGGGCCAATATAAATCATCAGCTATTAAGGTAGCTTGGGTACATCTGACAGAATGTCATTTCGCACAAACATCCACAGGAAAAGAGCAATGGCATTTTCCAACAAATAATTTATGTAACAAGAATGGAATGAACTTCAGTTCCAAAGCAAATATTCTTGCCACACATACAATAGCATTTCTATGCTGCCAAAATACAGAAAATAAACCTCCAGTGATTGAGCCCTGAGATTAAAAAAGTCACCTTGTAAGTCACCTTTCCATGTACTGTACAAAGCTAGATCTTAATCTAACAATAATAGCTTACCTCTGTCTGGTAGGCATCAAATAAGTATCCGATTCCACTTGTATAATACTGGCACCTTTTAGTATATAAAGGTCTAGGTTCCTAGAAGAACAGAAAGAAGAAAAATGAAGAAGAATTAAAAATGTGCTTTAAGTTACATTACAGATCTATATTTACTTCCCCTATGCAGCTAAGCTCTGGGAGGTTTTAAGTGAAATCCAGATACAATCCAGATAATTTTGAACTTTGTCAACTATTTCTTCTTCAGTATGCATTGATTTGCTTGGAAATTAATTATAGAGTTGACTCAATTTAACAGAACAGAATAACAAGAGTTAGAAGGACCTTGGAGGTCTTCCTGTCCAACTCCCTGCTCAAGCAGGAGACCCTATACTGTCCAATCTCTTCTTTAAAAATCCCAGTTTTGTCAGGAAATTTTATTTTTGAAAAAATAACTGTACATATTTAAAACAGAAGTAAGTCAAACAATGGACCATGCATTAATGTTTGGAAGGTTATAGCAATACATGCTTGGATCAGATTTCTCAGAACGTAGAAAAGAAAGGAATAGTTTTAAAATGACTGTTCTGTGCCATTACCATTTAATGGCACAACAAATTAGTTCACTCCCCTTCTCCCATCAAATTCTTCCAAATCTCTGGAGCAGTTCTGAGGGCGCTTCAACACAGGAGGCAGGAATTAAGAAGAGCACCCAAGAAGAGGAAAATATCATGGGATCTGCCCTCAAGTTATTTTTCTGAAATGTTTGGTGGTTTGCAATCTTCCCTTGAGCCCTTTGGCAATTAATAGTGTTTGAATCTATATAAGATAGCATCTCTTATGCTATCACATCAAGGGTACTTTAAATTATATAGAAACCATTGTCTGCCAAAGCAGATAAAAGAACAAAAGGTCAGTTTCTGCTTTTGGCCCACAGCAGAAAGATAGCAAGCTCTCATTGTTGCATTTTTACATTCTCATTACTTGTTTCTGAGCATGCCAGTTTTCTTTACCACAGTGCCTTTCAACTCAAGTAATATTTCGAAGGTAGCAGTTTGATAAAATCTAGAGTACAGTTATATAAATATCCCTATTATTGAGTTATTTTGGAAGATCTGGATTTATGAACCAGAACTAACACTGATCCCTTTTGGCTTTGGTAAATTGTAGAAGACTAGTCAAGTACGTTAGAAATCTATGATTACTGAAACTTACATGTATAGTCAACATAAAAGATGCAGATAAAAAGGAAACAGGTAAACAATACCAGATATAATTCCATTGTAGCTGTTTTTGTTAAACCACTATTATGCCTTGGAGGATTGACCAAGACATTTTAATGTTTACAAAGAAAAAAATATAAAACTACAGCAAATATAAAAAAACCCGAATAAAATAGAAATAAACCTAACCCCAGCATATATGAAAGCCAAACATTAAAGTGCTCAATTATTAATATCCATTATTAGTTATTCTATTTTATTTTTGTTTGATAGATTTTTAGTTTTTGAATTATGAAAATTAGCAGCTACTGAAATCTCTTCACACTGAAAACCAAGATATGATAATACATTAAGTAACCATAAATATATTTATGTCCTTGAGTGGAATTAGGCTCGTCCAAGAAATAATACCTGACATGGCCATTGTTTTAATGGCTCAAACAGGAGATGGTTCAGTTCAGTCTTTGAAAGACAAACTTCACCCCAGATTCCTTGGAAGAATCACTGTATAGTTTCTGTGAACATTTCTAATTGTGAAAAAATATTGATGGGTGTGCAAGTCCTCAGTGTCTTTTATTTAGAAAGTGATCATTTCAGATTTCAGATTTGTTTTGTGACAAAATTATTGCCAGCTTTTTAACAGGAACACCATAATTTCCATCCAGTTTGGTTGACAATTTCCATGAATATAATATTAGGCATTTCCTTTGTAAAGTATCAGAGAGAAAGATTTGGATGTTCAAAACATACAAAGAAATGGTTCTGGGGATTGAGGAAATAAAAAACAGGATACAATCATTGATTAGAATATATGGAAGTGAATCCAACACAGCATTAAGCATGTTGTGTATAGTTTTACAAAAAGCTTACTTCTATCCCTTTTACTCAGTAAATTCATATCCCTCCAAAGATAATACTGGATTAAGGCCCTGCTACTTCTCTTTTCTAAGAATGCCTGTTTCCCTGAAAACACAGCGTACTGTGTTTTTTGTCTCCAAAAGAGGCACTAGCAGTGGTGGGATTCAGCCGGTTGGCACCAGTTCAGCAGAACCGGTAGTCAATTTTTTGTTGCCCTGGGCCAGAATGGACTTCTGGACTTCTGGTTGTTCACGTATTTGAATCCCACCACTGGGCACCAGGTCATATTTGCAGGGGGGGGTCTTTTCCATGGTCTCACTTTGTAGCAGCGGCACTGACAGTCCTGCCCAGCTGGCCCACTTCTTCTGAGGCCACTTGCTGCTACTCGTGCACTTCACCCATGAACTCCATTTTGCCCTCAGAGGCCTTCAGGAAATACCTCTGCAGCTGAGAATGGAGCTCATGACTGGCGTGCACAGCGCTCCTTCCAGAAAGGCCTCTGCAGCCGAGAACCAAGATACAGATTCAATCTATAGCTCGGTTCTTGGCTGCAGAGGCCTTCCAGAAAACTCCATCACTGATAGTCTGAAAAAGTATAATAATGTTGACATAATCTGCTACCAGATAGACAGATTTACAATTGAAACAATCAACTATTTATCCTGCATTATCAATAACTGAAAACATTCCAAATATTAGATGCTTAAGATAATCAGTTCCATCCTACTTGGAGTGGCAGTAGATATACATATGTAGCTACATATGTCTGCATCTGTTAGGCCGCTGTCTCTTAAACAGCTTTCAAAGAGTATGGGGAGACATCAACCTCAACAGTATTTGCAACCATATTGAGGACCACTGCATCATGGTCTTGAAAGGGGATTATGTGAGTGGCTTTTTCCACTTTTGCTCATAATACAATGCCTTCCCTAGAATATTTTTCCTTTGATAAGCAATATTTGGTAGATGTGATGCATCAAAAAGTAGTAGGACAGAAATCAGTTACTCAGCAGCTGCAAAAGTTAATTTCTGTACTGAGTTGTTCAATGAGGATAAGTAAGTGATGACGAGTGCTAAATATTCCTGGATATTCAACCAGTTCTTAGGGTTCATTTCATCACTATCAGTAGAGGTCTTCTGTGCTTCATATTGGAAAAATCAATTATCATTTCAGAAAATCTGGTCCTTCAAAAAACAAAGAATCATCCCTTATAGAAGACTGTAAGAAGTCTCTTACTGTAATTTTCTCTTCCACTCTGTATTGCAAATATCTATTCTGAGAAAGAAAGTTATATTTTCCAACGACCAAAAGTTGACTCAGTTCTAACAATTAGTATCATAAGCAATGCATAGCTTGAAGCTCACTTTATTGTGGACTAATGGAAATAAAGCTCCTCTTTCTGCTGGTGATGATAAAAAAAACGATCCTTCCCTCTTCTGAACTCAACAGGTTCACCATCTGCTAGAACAGAGGTCCCCAATCTTTTGGGCGCCAGGGACCAGCTCCATGGAGAGAGGTTTTTCCACAGACCAGAGTGTGCATGGTTTTGTGTGCTGCCTGCATCTCGCAGAGTTGGGGGACCCCTGTGCCAGAAGACTTCCTATTTTCAGAGGGAGAAAATCCCTAGCCTGGTGATCTGTATACAGTAGTAAGTTGAGGGAAAAGACGTAAGTTGTAGTTACATTATGAAGAAGACTAAGCAAATAAAGTTCCCTATTGTGCACATGGTAATTAGAAGTGGACACTGTATCTGTGGTTTTTGAAATACTTGGGGATATAGGTGGCAAGAGTGTGGTGCTCTATTGCAGCTTCAGGGATAAGTGGAAGACAGTGATTGGGCTAAGTTTCCTTGATATACTTTAATCATCTTTTTTGACAGCATAACAGCTACTATTGTTGACAAAAGAAAGACAAAAGACATTACATGTGTCAATATTATAACAATTTTGATCATTCCTTCCACAAACTCCATTTAATAGAATAGAATAGAGCTGAAAGGGATCTTGGAGGTCTTCTAGTCCAGCCCCCTGCTCAAGCAGGAGGTCCTATACCATCTCAGTCAGATGATTGTGCAGTCTCTTTTTAAAAACTTCCAGCGATGGAGTGCCTATGATTTCTGGGGGTAAGCTGTTCCATTGGTTTATTGTCCTCACTGTCAGGAAGTTTGTCCTTAATTCCAGGTTGCTTCTCTTCTTGACCAGTTTCCAACCATTGTTTCTCGTCCTTCCCTCTGGTGCCCTGGTGAACAACCTGACCCCCTCTGCCTTGTGGCAGACCCTGCTATCATGTCTCCCCTATTTCTTCTTTTCTTTAGACTAGCCAAACCCAAGTTCTGCAGCCGTTCTTTGTATGTTTTGGTCTCCAGACCTTTGATCATCTTAGTTACTCTTCTCTGAATTTTTTTCCAGTCTTTCAACATCTTTTTTGTGATACGGTGACCAAAATTGGCTGCAGTATTTGAGGTGTGGTCTTACTAGAGCTTTATAAAGTGGTACTAATACCTCGCGTGATCTTGATTCTATGCCTCTGTTTATACAACCCAAGATTGTATTAGCTTTTTTGGTTGCTGCTGCACACTGCTGGCTCATAGTTAAGTGATCATCCACCAGGACTCCAAAGTCCCTCTCACAGTTACTGCCTCCAAGCCAGGTCTTGCCCAATCTGTATTTGTTCCTTTGGTTTTCCTGCCTAAGCGTAGGACTTTGCTTTTCTCCACATTGAAACTCATTTTGTTGGATAGGGCCCATTGTTCAAGTTTGTCAAGATCTTTTTGGATCCTGAGTTTGTCTTCTGAGTTGTTGGCTACTCCTGACAGTTTGGTGTCATCTGCGAATTTGATGAGTTCCCTTTCAATTCCCTCATCTAAGTCATTTGTGAAGATATTGAAGAGTACTGGCCCTAAGACGGATCCTTATGGTACCCCACTCCCTTTTTTTAGGCTATGTATGTAAAAAAATAGATTGGCAGATCTGCCGGCAAAACCACTGTGGTGGTTTAGCCTCCAGATAAGCAACTGTTCT